AAAAGCATGCAAGTGGTAGAGCCAGAACTTAAGCCAGGGTCTTTCAATTAGGTGAGTGACCGTCAAAGAAGTTAACAGTGTGAAATCCACATTATCATCAGGGTTTAAGGTATATGCTAAGAGGCAAAATGTTAGTGGAAAAAGAAGGAAAAGTATGGTTTATAATTACGGGTTTTTTTTTATAACTAGTTTTAAAAAGCGAACTGGGTTTTTGGGAGACTGGCTTACTGGACTGGGCGAATAAAAATACACAGTACCACGCGATACTTGGGACATATGGATGTAAGAAATTATTCATTGCTTATTGGAAATTCAAATTTATCTTGGCATCCTGGATGTTACCTGACAACCCTAGAGTAAAGGCCTTTATGAAACAAACAAAAAACACTAATAAATTACAGAGCTACACTTCCCAAAGCTGAAATCTGGGACGCTCTGTGTGCCACATGTCTTTGGGAGGCCAAGGAAAGGGAAGTGTAGTGGGGCTCCAGCTGTTCTTAGCTGGGCTTCCTTCTCTTTTTCCTAGTAGCAGACCCAGCCCTTCTTGATGTCAGAGACCTCGCTTTTGCCAATTAGGCCATTTAATAAATTCATGGCCTCAAAATTCCTGACCCTTCTCTTCTTTATATGGATGTTGTGAAGATTAAATACAATTGAGGTTGGTAGGGACTATCATCTATATATCTTTAAATACTTATTTTTGGTGGAGTGCTTTGGAAATATATTCTCAGAAACCTGGGCAAGACAGACTCCCCCCGCCCCCCAACACACACACACATACACGCCCTACCACCAAGAATGAGCTTGACAAGTATTGCTAATATGTGATGAGCCCAGTTGACATCAGCCCCTAAATGGAAGAAAGAACAAAAACAAGAAATGTGTTCAAAATCCGAAGTGAACTACAGAAAATGTAGTGAGCCGCCAAAAGGGGTACCCAGCAGAAAAAAGGGGTAATCACAGATAGAGAATTCTATACTTTTCAAATGGCTATGGATACATATTTAAAGCACAGTTCCTTGATTCAGAAATACTACTTTATCACCAACCCTCTGAGATAGCCTAATGTGAAATAAGGATAAGACCTTACTTATGCATACCAATTTAGTTTTCTGCTACCTTCCCCTCAACTGCCACTCTCTGTGGCCTAAGTATGTTTACCTTCTTCTAAAAACAACACGTTGGGAATAGCTCAGACAGTGTTCATTTAAATATTTCTATGCACAACTTTAATCTTCAAACTTAACAAAATCCCAATCTACTACACATCGATTGCTGTGAACAGAAAGTGCTTGAAGAGGATTAATCAACAGCTTTGTATGTCATCCTCCAACAAGGCCAAACACTGAATCACTGTTGGATTCTTCACGTGCAGCTACACCCAGTTAATCTTCAAGAAAGCAGCAAACTATGTAAATCTACTTGAACTGGGGAGATAAGTACTTCACTCATCAAAAGTTAGCAACATTTAACAAGTACAGCTATTAGCTGGCAATATCTTTGTAAAGAAAAAGAAAGATACACACACACACACACACAAACACACACAAATTCTTGCATTCACTCCTCTTCCTCAAAGGCCCCATTGCAAACCACGACAGCATATAGCAAGAAAGGAATTGCTACATGCCACAATTTGTAAAAACCAAATTCTATGACATAACTGAGTCAACTACCCAGAGAAAGCAGTTCTAAAATGGAAGTCAGAAAACATGGAGAGAAGTGGCTTGTAAAAGAATTCAAAGCAAAATGGAAATACTTGTTTTCTGTATTTAAAGCCTTTAACATAAAGTATTTTTTTCTTTTGAAACACAATAAAATATGTTCATAACTATAGAAGTCCTGATAAATGGTTTTTGTTTAGGTTGCAGGGCATTTTCATACAATCAGACTGGATATGCTTAAGGAATATCATGTTTCTGAAAGTCACAGTCAATAATAGGATGTACACACTTCTCCACTGAGGCTTGGACAAACAATCTTTGTCTAGATACTGCCTACTGGCTTATCACTTCACTCAAAAGTGTCTCACTTTGACCTAAGCCAAGCAGGTGTATTTCTAATGTGCTCATAGGCCTGTGATGCAGGAAAATCCTATTTATCCGAGATGATGCCAGAGATCATGGGGCAGGAGGGGGATGAGCACCACCTACCTCTGCTTTAACTGAAACTGGCTGACTCCGATACATGTAAAATATAAAGTTTTTAAAAAGAGATTCTACAGTCATTCACTGAAGCAATACTTTGGCTTTCAAATGTCATGAACCCATCATCCATACCATCCACTTACTTCATCCTTCACTTTCAACCTCACAACCTCCACCCTTCCCCTCAAAAAAAAAAAAAAAAAGGCAGGAGGAATCCCTAAACTGGACTTTTGAGATGAAAAAGGCAATGGGCAGTGATGCGGATGAGCTCTGTATGAGTTTCTACTGAGATGTGCCCATAAGCAGGCAATTGCAATGTGATGGTTTTAAGAGCTTGACTGCCAGGGTCCAAATCCCGGCTCAGCACTTTGGGTTGTACAGACTGGGCAAGTTACTTAATCTATGCCTCAGTTTTCTCAGCTGTAAGGGAAATAGTATTACTTGTCTCATAGGACTGTCAAGATGACTAAAATTAGTTAATCCACCTAAAGCACTTAGAACAGTGACCTGCAGCAGGCAGTAAGGTGCTCAGTGATGGTTAGCTACTACTAATATATGTCTAAAAAACTGTGATTCTCCTATCTTTCTCCAAGAGGTGATTTTTAGGTATTCCTCACATTCCATTTTTTCCTCAGGCAAATTATCTGAAATCAGCTCTAAGAGCTGCTTATATATTTGTAGATTAAAATCAAATCACATTGTACACCTAAAATTTACCTATTCTTTCATCGAAATGAACAAATTCATACAAACCGAAAGGTGCAAGCTTAACATCACAAAATCTTATAAAAGACATTAATTAGACTTCCCGTTTAGACGAAGCCAGGATGAGATCACAAAGTCACTCATGGTAACCAGGTCCCCACGCTGGAAGTGTGCTTTCCCAGTGAATGGCTAAATACTAACAAAAGAAGCCTTTGACTCAAATACCACTGGTACCCGGGGTCTTGTGTCTGTATAATGCCTACACATTCATTTCTTTCTTTGCCTATAGAAAAAAGAAAGTCTGTTTGTTTTTCTGATTCAGTCAGCCCTTTTAGTCTCTGAATCTAAGGAGAGCCCAGTGAAAAGAAGAGCATCTTATCAGCGTGCTCCAGACCAGCAGGCTGTCCCCCTCCACACACAAAACCTCCAGCCCCTCACAGCAAAAGGGCCTCGCCCTCAGAGCCTTTTCCCATTTCAGAGCTAACACCCCACCGGGTTTTGACAACAAATAAATGAATACATGAGGCCTTTACATAATTAGCCATCTTTTCAGGTAGAGAGAGGTGGGTGGAAGAGGAGGGTTCAGGAGAAGAATATTTATTGTAAATCGGCATCATTGATGAAATTGATGTAAGTGTGCTGGATCCGAGGACATTTATTTTAAATGAGGCCACACGAAGTGAGTTTAGAGATGCCTGGTTTTGAATCTAGACAATTTTAGCATATACTTCAGACAAGTCAGAAATGCAGATTTTTTTTTTTCGTGGAAAAAAAAGGAGCTTTTCTTAAGCCAGGTAAAAGTTGCATTGACTTGGACAGCAAAGGACACAGACCAGGGTGTTTACTACCTTTTCAAGGGAAAGCTAACAAGTAAAAGAACCCAAGACCAGAAAACAATACTTTTTTGACACCGTCACTGTTTGACCAAATTAGCCCTACTTTCAGATATACTTATGCTAAGACATACCCCCCATCAAATGACTTTGAGAACAAAAAGGACTACATATAATCAATAATCCTGTGAATGTCTTTAGGAAAGCCACCAGGCATCCCTGTTATCTGTCATGATCTTAACAGAGCTACGGTCTGCAAGGAAGGATAGAGTTCGCTTGTATCATTATTGGGATAATAACTTAATTGATTTGTCTCCGTGGCTAAGGATGTAGACAAGAGATTTATTATGGTAGAAAAATATCTGCAATCGTGTTTTTGTTTTCTCAACAAGCATCTTGCCGCTGACCTCTAAATCAGTTTAACCTTTTCTAAACAGACCTGCACATTTTTTACATAATTTAAAGCTAGGTTTTGTTATTGCTGCTGCTGAAAGACTCTGTGAGATTTATCACAACATGGCTTCAGTAACCTTCTTTTAAAAACAAAGATGAAAAAACAAAACAAAAGGCCGAAACTATAAGCTCCCAGCTCCACTCCTTTTCCCGGCAGGGGATTTCGATCTAACCACTAAAGTGCCTTTGGAGTTCAATCTGTTAAAAAATGTATGAAACGGTATTAAAATAGGAAAAGGCATGTGTATGACTCAGGCTTATCCAAGTATCTCTGCAACTAGGATGTCACAGGATTTCCCTGTGCTTCTGAAAACTGAAAACCTTGAGAAAGTGACAGAAGTTCCTGTTTCGTCTCTCTTTTTTTTAATATATATATGGGGGGGTGACGCGCGCGGACACACACACACACACACACACACAAGCACACACACAAATTGGTCTTCCGGGTTTGCTATGAATCAGGCAGGTTCTTTCGGGTTCCGAGTGAAGATTGTTGCAAACCAACGTTACGACTTATTATCGTACTCTTCTACACACAAAGGTTTCAGGGTGAAAAAAAAAAAAAAAAACCAAACTTGTTGCAGAGCTGGGGAGAAGCCCCTGGCCCGGAGCGCTGCGCTCTCGCCGCCTCTCCACCCCTTCCCCTTCCTCCACGTCCCACCCGGCGCGGCCGGCGGAGACGAGGGCATCTCCCCAGCTAAGGTCACCGGCCCGAGCCGTCCCCGCGGGCCGCCTCCTTCGGAAACAAGGTCACCGCCCAGTCCGGTCCCTCCGAGGAGAAGAGCGGTGTCCGGCCGAGCGCTGGCGCCCTTTGTAAAGCTGGGCGGCCGGCCTCGGCGCGGCATCCCGGCCGCCGCCTCACCTGCTTGCGATAAGGCGTCCTGCAGTTGCTGCTGCCCCCGGGGTTGCCGCTGCTGCTGGGGAAGATCATCGCGGCG